ATCACCTTCATTTAGACAAAAACATGTTTTGGAGAAAAAAAAAAAGACTTGCAGCACAACCAGTGTGTTTGTTTCTGACCACAACCAAAGTCTGAAAGAAGCCTCTGGGCTGAGAGGCTAAATGTCTCCAACATATCCAGAAACGTCCAGCTGTTTTCAGCTAAAACTCTCAGGATGATCATGTCCAGATGACTGAGAACTACACCTCCATGCTGCAGCAGCATTCAGTCAGAACAGAAACTTAAATGTAGCTGCTGTCAGTAACAATCTAACAGATTTTAAACATTAAAACTCTCAACAGAAATAGTTCAGAAAGGAAATTTAAATGTTCACAACTTTGTGTGATTTATTATTATTATTATTTATTGTGGCAGAAGCTGGTGTTGTCCACCACAGAGAAGCTTCTCTAGCATGATGACTTTAATTATTCTACAGGTTATTGTTCAGCCTTCTGACGCACGCGCACGCACACACGCACACACGCACGCACGCACGCACACACACACACACACACACACACACACACACACACACACACACACACACACACACACACACACACACACACACACACACACACACACACACACACACACACACACACACACACACACACACACACACACACGAGTGTTGGTGAGCGGCTGCGTCTGACTGCTGATGCTCCGCGTGTTTTTATTTCTGCAGTGAGACAAACTCACCTCACATCGTCCAGAGTTTGTTCTTTAACCCTCCCACTGTCCTAATGGGTGTGACCCGGTGAGGAAAGTTGACCATTGAGCAGGATTGATGGTTTATCCCTTGAGGTCCGCGTGGCAGGGGTGAGGTGGTGCTCACTCCTCACCCCTGCCACGCGGACCTCAAGGGATAAACCATCAATCCTGCTCAATGTTCAACTTTCCTCACCGGGTCACACCCATTAGGACAGTGGGAGGATTATAGCTTCTATTAAATCCACCGTGTTGACGTATTTTAACAAGTTTCCTCTATGCTGCAGGAGTTAAAGTTTACATTAGAGTAAAAGTTCGGCAGACGCATTTGTTTATATGTGGCAGCTGCGCGCCCGGTGTGGGTAGGGGGGGACTCGGTGCTGCACACACAGCAGCTCTGAAAAGCGTTGATCACAATTTGCAGATCACGTTTATTTTTCAAGGAGATCGGCCTCGGATTCGTCTTCCGGTTGGCATACTAGGAATCGAAACTAAGAATCGAAATAAAAATCTTTGAACGATTACAGAAAAAACTAACAGTTGGTCCCGGTTCTGATCGATGCTCGATGCCCAACCCGAGCCACATTCTAATGCTTTTTAGCAAGAAGGAAGTTGTAATAAACCGCATGAGTTTCATATCAATAGTGAGTTTTTAAGCTAACGACTTCTCCGCCTCACATCAACAAACTGTTACAGCTCAGGCCGTACAACCTCAGAAATCTCATCTTTTGAAAAGAGGACTGTTTATTCCATTGCAGAGTACAGCCGTGGTTTAAAAGCTTCACCTCCATGCGGCGGATGTCTATAGACAGAACCGTAGTAAAGAAGAACATCTGCAGGAAGAAGTCAGAAACGAGACCCACAACAGCAAAAAGACAGAATTCCTGCAAAACACAGAAACCACATTAAATCAGCTTCTAACCAACACTTCCTGCTGCACATCTAAACATACGGGTTTACCTGGATAGCTGGAACCAGGGTGAAATATCCAATCAGGATGATGCAAAGCTCAGTGGCCATGTTCTTCATGATAGACCAGCTCTCATTACTAAGGCCTGGTGAAGCGGGGGGGGGGGGATGTTCATTATGAACTTTAACTTGGAGAAAATTCCTTGAAAAGAAAGGAACGCTCACCCTGAGCGATGCGGAGCTTGACCTCCAGGTCAACCGGAGTGGAAACGACTGACTTGGTGAGAACCAACACGTTTTCGAGGCCGATCACCACCACCAGGTAAGGGAAGATTTCACTGTGGAGAGAAGACAATAAAACCTGTTAAATCTCCTTACAGTGGTGATCCTTTACACCGGTAAATGCACAGAACAATTACTTTTGTTAATCTATTTCAGTTTCAAGTAGAGATTGACTGATGTAGGTTTTTCAACTGATGATGCAGATATGTGCTAGCCTAGAAACCTAGTCCAAATGTAGCTAAAGATTTTGCTCTGCAGGTCAGTCTAGCCACGATCCATTGTAGCCCCAGCAGGTCGACCATCGCACTGCTCTCTGTTTGATTGGCGGGCTAAGCACCAGGGGTCTCATTTATCAAACATTGCATAGAATCCTTACTAAAACCGAAATCAAGCTCAGCAAAAAAATGCACTTACGCCAAGTAGGTTTGCGATCTATCAAACATGGAGTACACACAGCTGCACTCAATCTCCGCTTCATAAATCAGAAACTATCTAGAAAGGTTGTCAGCTGCATTTTAGTCACATACCGCCCTCACCACGCCCACTTACTGCCATAAATAGTCAAAGCAAAGTGCCTTGTGGATCTCATGCATATACATAAGCCGGCTTGTTGCAGTGCTTCGCCAATGACGATGGCGACCGTAGATCAAGGCAGATCAAAGAAGCTCAATTTCACAACCAGAAGTTGAGGTAATGTTGAGTTCTTCAGAGAGATCTGTGGCAGATATAAAAAAAAAATGGCTCGATCAGGATTCGATCCCCAGACTCCCGGGTGAAAGTCACGCGCACTAACCAGTCAGCCAAACGGAGATCTCCCTTGTCCAAGTAGCCAGGGTGCTTGATCAATCGAGTCATAGTGACAGGACACTCACACTGTCACAGACGCATGACATTCTGTCTCGATCTGTCCCCCTGCTGATATTCTGCATTCCATATTCTGCGCTTCGGTGTGTGTGTGTGCGTGCGTGCGTGCATGCACGAGGTGGCTTGTTCTGTGTGCACACGAAGCGGTACAAGTGATAATGCTGCTGATTTCATAATTTTACCCTTCTCAGCAGCAGCACTGCAGGTGCTCTCCATGTCCAAAATGTGCATAAGACAGGTCCCTAGTCAACTTAAAGTTGCGCACATTTTCCCGCTAAGTTTTCTTTCATAAATCCCAAAGTTTGCGTGGAAAGTTGCTTACGCAGTTTTCCGACTCCGTTTTGTGTGTAAGCAAGCTTGATAAATGAAGAAAAATAGCTAAGATAGCGTCGACATAGAACAGTGCTTGTTTGAAACAGATTTAGCCTCGGGTTTTTCTTTGAGACATGAGCAGATAGAGGTACTCAAAGAGACAATGTGTTGTTTTTACCATTAATGTCTGGAAACATCCATCGAAATGTTGTTGAAAATGATTTAAATCGTGTCCAGTTCTTTAAAAATATTGGCGGCTTCGTAACATACAACCATAAAAATCGGGTATAAAATACATGGGAGTGGGTCTAAGTCTTTGGGCGATGTTTTCTTCTACATGAGCCCCTGAGGACAAAAAGCATTTACTGATTTGGCAAATGGTTACAAAACTTTCACCATTTGTAAACATCGTTTTACACACTTACCTCTTGGCTTGTTGCCAGTGATGAAAGAGTCTGATGTGCTTGTCATTTTACTGATGGTTGAATGATCTGACAAAGCACTCGTTTGAAAAATGCACTCCCAGGGATTTTTGACCTTAACTCATTCACTGCCAATGACGACTAAAGTCGTCATTTGCATTTTTTTACTGTTTGAGCATCGGAACGAGCCCCTGCGCTGAGAGAACAAACATCTCAGCCCTGAAGTCGATCTTCATCCGTATACGTCACATGTCATGTGACCAGGAAGCAGACCATCCATGTGTTAGGAGATCGTTTAGGGCCGTTCCTGTAAAGAAAGTGAGGCGCGAACCGGAAAAGCGTCTGCCAATCACAATTCAACTACGGATTATGAAAGAACGGATACCGCTCGAAACACGCGGATTATTCCTGATGTAAGAGGTGAGTCTCCGCTTTGTTTTGGTTGTTTTGGCAACGACATCATCCTAGCGCGCAACGTTCTGTGACTCTTAAAAAAACAGTAAAAACGGTGAGAAACGCTGGCAGCGAAGGCCGTTAGCTATCAGGAAATGGCTGGCAGTGAACGAGTTAACGGCCATACATTGGTACGGTCTTACTCAAACACAAAAATACCACTTGCTTGCATTGATTTAGGCATGTACTGCCCCCTATCGCCAGGGAAAATACACATCATCACTTTTAGTAATTTATTTCGGAAAAAAAATGCTATTTGCTTCTTCTTCTTCTTCGACGGCGTATGGCGGAATGCCCCGCTGATTGACCTCCGTAGAAGTGAGTATGTCGCCTTGTTCGTTGTCCAATGGCATATGGAGACAGTTTAAAAGACAACTGTAGATTCTGCCCCATGACTAAACTCCGTCTAGGGGTTGTGGACAAACCAGGCTAGATAAGCGCTCATAACGGCTGATATCTAGACGTTTTCTGCCTCATCTGCATAGTAAAATATTACCAATAACAGCTGATGCACAACATTACTGAACCTAAATCCATTTTAGAACATTGCTTGATCTTAGCTCAGTATTGAAACCATTTAACCAAAGTGAATCAAACAAACTACCAAGTACTAAATCTACAAAACAGGTAAATAACAATAAAATTCAGTTAGCAATGTTAACTGGTGTTTTTCTGGAACATAAGTAAATAAAAACAAATGCAAGTGAAAATGAAAAAATCAAAAAACATAAAACTAAAGAAGTGCTGAAAAAAAATCCTGTTTTTACAGATAATTAAGAAAATCTTAATATAAACTATTTAGTGCTCTTGACTTAGCAGCAGCATCATTGCAAAAAACTCCTCGTTCTAGACTTCCTGTCTGGATATCCGCAGATGTACCTGACTTTAAATCGGTTCTAGTGAAGAAGAAAAAAAAAAGGTAAATATTTTGGCCCAATATTTCAGTCTATCCCTAGTTTAAATACTGGACTAAAGACATTTTAAAGATTACATGCACCTATAAGCATCCTGTCCAAATAACATAATAAAAGCAGAAAAAAAGGAAAAATCTATGTATTGAATAGATAAAAAAACTAGTTTTGTGGAAATCCATTCAGTGTTTGGGGAGATGACATGTTAAACACACTGATCAGCTAATCTGAAATTATTTGTTTTTGTCAGATTTCTTGTGGGAAATTCCTCCGCTCACAGCATGTGAATTAGATTAGATGACTCTGGGAGTACAGATAAGCTTCAGAGGTAAGTGTATAACTAGGTCACAGAGGAGTCAGCAGCTCTACGGATTACATGATTATACACACACTCTCAATAACACAAGCACACTCATTCACCCTAGTGCCACTAACTCAACGTGGAGCCATTCATGACCAAGCATAAATGCAATTTTTTTAAAAGCTATGTAGGTGTAGCTGTTTTGCTTTAAAAGTGATGCAGGAAATACGTAGGAAATAAGTGTTTTGCATCACCTGAATTGTTTATTTTCCAAAGATGAGATATTTAGCCTTGATAGGCTGCTTCCTAAAAGGCATTCTGCTATTTGGTTAAGTCGACCTTGATTTGTCGTGTTTGCACAAGTTCTTGCAGCGCAGGCACAGCCCACAGCAGACCTGCGTGCATCTTATTCAGTGGTTGGACAGCAGGGTGCCATTGTCACGCCATTATGTTGGCTCTCCAAACATCCTCAATCCATTGGATTTTCGGTGAATGTCAGGAACACGAAATCTCCTCCCCTAGAAGCGATCCAGCCCATCTCCACACCTAGTGCTCCCACTGCTATCAGCACTCATACACTGCTGTAAACATTAACTCAAATCGACGCAAAATCAACAACGAGGAAGTGGGAAGTCAGATGTGTGTGTGTGTGTGTGTGTGTGTGTGTGTGTGTGTGTCTGTGTGTGTGTGTGTGTGTGTGTGTGTGTGTGTGTGTGTGTGTGTGTGTGTGTGTGTGTGTGCAGGTGAGTTAGTAGAACTGCTCTGCGTTTCAGTGAAGATCAAAGATAATCGCTTGCTGTGGAGGTAATATTAATTGTCCAATGAACAGACTTGGGACCCCGTAGCAGCTGCAGACATTGTTCTGAAGTTTTAAAGCCTCCTAAAGTCATTAGCTTTAATGGATACGAACCATAAATCAATGAAAATGTAACGTACTAGCAAAGTGATGTCAGGTCTTTTCTAAATGAAATAAAAAGGACAAAAAGTCATAAACTTTATGCTAATCCCTCTATACAGATTCAAATTTTAAGTTTTGCCGTCAATAAATTAATGAAGTAGTTTTAAAAAGTTGAAAACTTTCATTGATTTATCAAGCTGAACGTAAGTTACAATTTTTTCATTATTGTATTATTAATAGTTGTTTGTTTTTACCTTTTTATATTTTCTGTGGTCTCCAGTAAGAACAAATGCCTTGAAAGTCGTTTTCTTTGGGTAAAAAAGCCCCAGTGCTCCAATTTCACCTTTCCCCGACACCCACCGATTACTGATTTATGATTAAAAACCATCAAAAAATGAGAAAAATAAGAAACTAACTATGAAAATGTGAGGAAAGGAGAAAAATGTTTATCTTTGTATTTTTGTTCTTTTGAAGCATCTTGAGATTTTAACTTGAGAGGCACTAGGGCTGGGCGATAAGGCATAAAATCAATATCATGAAATATCGAGGATTTCACCTTGATTACGATAAATTTTCTATTTATTGCCCAGCCCTAAGAGGCACTATATAAAAGATTGTTTCTTCTTCTTCTGTTTTGGGGTTTGAAGTTTGGCAGAGAAGTGTGAGGGGATTCTTGTTTATTAATATTCATGATATGCAAACATCTTGTCCCCGTTTGGCTAACAGCAATACAACTCTTCCACTGCCTTCACTCTTTCTTTCTTGGGTACAAAATCCAACATTGATGTTTTATCTCCACAAATAAAAGCCTGAGTGTGGTCCTCCATGTTGTGGAATTGCCAATGCTAATGGTTGGCTTCTACTAGCCGAGACATGCTCTGATCCCAAGCCAAAGTGGGCGGGGCCATGAATAAAATTTTTGTATGGGGGTTGGAGAACATTTTCATGTTCAGCACCCAAATGAATTTCAAAAAGACCACCAGTATTTCAGAAAGAAAAAGCATTTCTCAGTTCCTATGGGAAGATGAGATTTTAAAGATAATTTGACACATGAAGGAAAATGTCTCCAATGATGTCTGCAAGTGACAACAAACCACCAATTGTCCAGACCAAACCCTTGTAATTATTTTAACTGAAGTATGTAGAAAATGTGGGCACTCCTACCCTCCATTGAGCGTCGGTGTCAGTCCAAACAGAGTGCAGAGTCCCACAGACATGAGCAGGGAGCTCAGCACTGTCACCACGGCAGCCAGAGCCAGGCCCCACTTGGATTTCACCATGTCAATCTTACCTAAAAGGACAGAAGATGTGATGGGTTGAGAACGCTCTTCGTTAACGCACAAACTATAATCAGTGTACCCAACGACCGTAATAACAGGAGAAAGGTCAATTCTATCAAAACAAGGTAAATAGAGGTAAGATACAATTATTCAGGATAATCCAGATCAATTTGTTTTTTTTCCACAGCTTAAAAATCCAGTACATTTAATGGAGTGCCACAGAAACACGACAAATTGTTCATGTGATTCAAGTTTAACATCTAAGGCAAAAATAAATGCAGCTGCATCCTTTGCTTCATTTTCAAGAGTTTAGTCAACCGAACACGCTGCAACTAAGGAAAACATAAAAGATAAAAAGATGTCACACAAGTAATTATCCATAGATTCTGCAATTTCAAGGGATATTATGCAGTATTGGCTTGCTTTTAGCACCCCCTAGTGTTCTGTTAGTGAAACCTAAAGCAAAAGTTATCTCCTCGCTATGCGCTCGTCTTTTTAACACCTTAATCCAACAGCTGAAATGTCCCCCAGTCTTCATTAATGTCTACAGGAGCGGTTCATCACTAAATCAGACAAATCAGCTGTGTTCATGATCTAAAACATGCAGGAAATGTGCTGGAAGCAGACTGCAGCACTGGCATGTCAGCTCCACTTTACTAATGGGCCATTCCCATCTGTACCGGGTCGGCCCGGGCCGGGTAGCCCCAGTCGGCCCCAGCCTGGCCCGGTTGATTCCACACATCCTTGCCTTAAGCCCATGTGGGCTGATTCTACCCACCAATCAGAGGCTTGCTCTAATGGAAGGTGTGAATTTGCTGTCAGCAGTGGGTGTGTTGGCCCTGGTCGGCCTGAAGCAGACCCCCTCGAGAAGAGGGTTGAGAATGAGCCTTGGTTGGCCCGGAAAAATACCAGGCCACCCAGATATGTAAACAACCTACGCTACCCGGCCCGGGCCGACCCGGTACAGATGGGAATGGCCCATAAGTCCAACAGGGATTGACCTGGCAACTCTGAAGTTGCAAGTGTGGTATTCTGGCCGCAGGGAATGGTAGGGACTGGGTGACTTTTCATTAATCCTGTTAAGGGTCAGTTTAGTACATACTGGCTCAAGGGAGCGATTTAAAAAAATGGAAAATGTGCATAGTATGCTTTTAAACATCAAACACAACCTTTAGTTTTGATTTTCTAATGTTAAAAAATTAGAAAGTCTTTCGGAATTTGATTATTTAAACGAGCACAAAAAATCTCTTAAATTCTCCTTTATGCCTAAAAGTAGCTGAATGAAGCATTTGAAATGTTTTTTTGTCTTTATATGGTTCTATTAAGATGCAGAAGACTGATTATAGGGAGTAGAAAGAGAGAGGTAAGGTAAATAGTAGGGATGAGCGAGTGCACCACTATCTGTATCTGTTCAACCATCTAAATGATCTGTATATGTACTCGGAATGGGCGTGGCATAACTCGGAAGTGGGTGTGGCTTACATCAATACATTATTTTAAATCTGAAATTGATAAGGATTGATCAAAAGTTGCTATGTGTATTGTTTATTTGAAAACTATTTACAGAGCAGCCTCAGAATTGAGATCAAATATTTTTGATCATTATAGTAAAGGAACCATTACAGAACAGGTTTTTCAATAAAATCAGAACATTATTATTTAAGTGCATGAATTAATACATCTGAACTCATGCAGTAGGAACTAGGAAATATGAAATACTAGAACCAGACACAACTTTTAATTTTTTTTATTTTAATTTGATCAAACTGATTTTTTCTTAACGTTGTTGGCATTTTTCCCACACACAGTTAAACAAAACAATGTTGATTAAGGTGTGTGTGTGTGTGAGTGAGTGAGTGAGTGAGTGAGTGAGTGTTAAAATTTTTTTTTTTAAAACCCAACCGTAGTGGAGGCAGTGACCGACGCATGCACGAGCCGTTTTCAGCTGTCTTGTCAAATGCACCACGTAAGTTACAAAAAAAGTAACTTTAAATATTCAACCGAAAAAGGCGAGCTGGAGAAAACCTAGGGAGCACTGAAGAAACGTGAGCAACAGTGAAGCAAGCACAGAGAGATCCGTTACTGTCTGTGTGTGCGTGGATGTGCCGGATGGACTGAGCTCCCGGCTGCAGAGTTTTGTGTGTAGGGAGGGGCGGGAGCTTTATGTGACTGGCCAATCACAGAGTGTGAAGACAGTCAGTTACCCAGTGAGGATTTTCCTTCAGGACGATTACAGATATTTACGAGTTTTACTCGTTTTATGCTCGTATTCGTCAAAAATGCATTATTCGTACCGAGTATCCGGCTCATCCCTAGTAAATAGCTGTGTGGTCAGACATGGACCTGAACTGAAACAAAAACATCCCCCTTTTAGTCCAAATAATCATGAATTTAAGACTACAGTTGTAATAACTTCAATTAAAAGCAAGTTACTTTTATTTTTGTAAATTCAATGAAGGAAATTATTTTTCAAAAGTAGCCAAATGTGAGTCCGCTAAATGATTTATAGGTGGAACTTTTATTTTATTTGTGTACATCGAGTATCTGTTTGTCCACTCAAGTGAATGTTTGAGCTGGCGAGTGGCTGAGGGTTTGCTAGCTGCATTCTTACACAGGTGTGCAATGTTCCAGAGAGGCTAATCCCGTCGCCAGACGGGAACAACCTTGGCACAAAAACACACGTGCACACACACACACACACAGAGGCGTAGTGAACGCTGGTCTGACATATGACTATAAAAATTTACAGAGCTGAGCCAAACAGGAAGAAAAGATTAATTTAACATAGAAAGTTGGTGGAACACAAAAGGCAGAAGAAGCTGGACTCACGGGTGGAGAAGTAGATGTAGGCGAAGAGGATGATGTACGTGGTGACGAGGGGGATGAGTTCAGCTATGCCAATCTCCTCCTTGAAGTGGACGTGAACCATGTGGTCGTCTCTCAGGCTGCAGTTAGCTGACGGGTGAAGCTGCTTCAGGCGGATCCGCAAACTGTTAAGAAAACTGGACACACACACACAAATTATAACAAAATGAAAAACTTTGTAGAGTTTCTAAATTCTTCAATAAAGTCTTTAAAGCTCTGGTTTCCATAGGAACTGTTTAATACTTGTTCTTTCTGAAATACAGTCGGCTACATGAATGAATGAAATAGCACAGAATAGAGTTCATTGATCACACAGTGGAGAAATTCACTTACAGCATTCAAACAAAAATAATCATGATAAAAGTACAAGTATATACACACAAGCAGTAAGCCATTATTGTAACCTTGGACCACCAAAAACCATAAATAAAAATTAAACTTGGGTTCTGAATGTGAAATGTTCTCCAACCCTCGTCAACTGCAGAAAGATGGATGAGAAAATGATTTTGTCAAAAAAAAAAGTCTCTTCTACATCACAAGGAACATTAGCATTTGTGGCCCCGCCCATCTTGGATTGGGATCGCCCACAGCAAGAAGAGAGAAGAAGCTAAACCTTAGCAACATGGCAGAACACATTCAGGCTTGAGTCATTTGTGTATTTGTTTATCTTCGAGTCCAGAGTGAAGCCAGACTCTACTGACCAGACCAATCAATAAAAAGAACAATGTAAGTTATAACGTATTACTGAATGACAGAATTTTTTTTTACAATATTGTCCTCTTCATCCAGACAGCCAAGTATACAGCGGACACATTTTTACCATTTTGGTACCCAATGTCAAGGTTTTTTTGTTTTTATCTGCTATGAATTTACTACAACATATTCCATGACAGCTGCAGTAAAATAAACTGGACTCAGCATGAATGTGTTACACTCATTAGCCAGGCAACAGATGAGCAATAATCCTAACAAGTATGACATCATACTACAGCAACTGCTGTTTAGTAGCCTGGTGTGTGAACGTTAATGGAAAACAGTAATCAGAGGACAAACCCACCAGGCAGAGACATGTTAGGACATTATAAAATTGAATTATCCTACAAAAGGATTAATTCACAACATAACCGATCATTCCAATCAATTGGATTTTTTAAGCTAACGCTAACAGTTATAAATAAAAGCGCAATTTTTAAGGGGCGCACGCGTACAGTGCTAAACATAAATGAGTACACCCCCTTTAAAAAGTACAAATGTAATCAGAAGCTCAATGAACTAAAGAACAATTTCCAGATTTTTCACAAGGCTGGGTTTTATTGAACTCTTTTTTAACTTCATAACATGAAATTAAGGTTAATAATATAACTTAGATGACTAAATATTCAGTTTTACTAAAATTGGTTGAAGCAAAAATGAATTCACCCCGCAACAAAAAATACTAAATCTTCTATTTTGTATGACCACTGTGATTTTCAAGGACTTCTAGGCATGGAATGAACAAGTTGGCGACATATTGCAACATTTATCTGTTCCCATTCTTCAACAATAACCTCTTTTAGAGAGTGGATGCTGGATGGAGAGTGATGCTCAACTTGCTGCTTCAGAATTCCTCACAGGTGCTGGATTGGGTTCAGATCAGGAGACAAGACTTGGTTATTCAATCACCTTCACCCTGTTCTTCTTCAGAACTGCAACAGCAGCTTTAGATGTGTGTTTTGGATCACTGTCGTGTTGGAAGTGCACGACGACCAAGTGCACAGAGTGATGGCAGCATCTTCTCCTTCAGTATAGAGCACTACATTGTTGAGTTCATGATACCATCAATGAAATGCAGCTCACCAACACCAGCAGCACTCATGCAGCCCCGCATAAGGACACTGCCACCACCGTGTTTCACTGTAGGCACCATGCATGTCTCTTTGAAATCCTCATCTTTACAATGCTATACAGTTTTGAAACCATTAGGTAGAAAATCAGTGATCTTTGTCTCATCACTCCAGAGTCTAGAGTCCCAGTGGTTCTAATCTCTTTCAGCATGGACCCTAGCAAATCCTAGTCATGCTTTTTTGTGCATGGGCTTCATGAGAGGCTTCCTTCGTGGACAATACCCATGTATGCCATTCCTCTGCAGTGTATGTTGTATGGTGTCATGGCTTTCTACTGTAATCCATCCGCTTCTTAAACAAACGAGTCTTGACGCCTTTCTCCATAGCAGCTTCAGACCAATCTCTAAACTTCCATTCATCTCCAAGATCTTGGAAAAGGTTGTGGCTAAACAGCTCACAGCTGCTCTTGATGAACATAACATCTATGATTGCTTCCAGTCAGGTTTTCGTAGAGCTCATTCTACTGAAACAGCTCTTCTTAGGGCCTCTAACGACCTTCTGACTCACAGTGATGCAGGGGACTGTTCTGTTCTGGTCCTTCTGGACCTGAATGCAGCCTTTGACACTGTTGACCATCACCTGCTACTGGAGAGGCTGAGAGACTGGGTAGGCCTATCAGGATCTGCTCTGGAGTGGTTCTCCTCTTATCTTTCTGAGCGCTCCATTTCTGTGGCCGTCTCCAAGTTTAGGTCCTCTACCACCTCCCTTACCCATGGTGTCCCACAAGGTTCTGTGCTGGGGCCTCTGCTCTTCCTCCTCTGTCTGCTTCCTCTTCAGCACATCCTGAGCTCCTTCAAAGGAATCTCCTACCATCTTTATGCAGATGACATCCAACTGTACATCTCCTTTGAGCCCCATGAGATGTCTAAGCTGCAGCTGTTACACACCTGCTTAGACTCTATTAAATCCTGGATGGCTGGGAGCTTTCTACAGCTGAATGAAGATAAGACTGAGATCCTCATCTGTGCCCCAGACAAGCTGGTTCCCAAAGTCAGAGACTCTCTTGGTCAGCTTGCTTCTCACACCAAACCCTCCGTCAGGAATCTTGGTGTGACCTTTGACCCAGCTCTCACCCTGGATTCTCATGTCAGTTCTCTTGTTCGCTCTTCCTTTTTCCATCTCAGGAACATTGCTAAGCTGAGTCCCATTCTGTCCCGCTCTGAACTTGAGACAGTTATCCACACTTTCATCTCCTCACGCTTAGACTACTGTAACTCTCTTTTCACGTGTCTGAGCAGAACCTCCCTGAACCGTCTACAGGTGGTTCAGAATGCCTGTGCTCGGCTTCTGACCAAGTCCTCTAAACACACCCACATCACCCCGCTTCTCCTCCAGCTTCACTGGCTGCCAGTCAACTTCAGGGTTCATTTCAAGATCCTGGTCCTGGTCTATAGGGCCTTACATGGACAAGCACCATCTTACATTGGTGATCTTCTTAGTCCCCACACCGCCAGCAAGTCTCTGAGGTCCAGTGATCAAAGCCTACTGGTTGTGCAGCGCACCAGGCTAAAGACCAAAGGTGACAGATCATTTGAAGAAGAAGAAAATATCATTTCTATAGCACCTCTCAAGATAAAAATCACGAGGTGCTTATGGCTGCTGTGGCCCCCAGACTCTGGAACTCTCTCCCCCTGAGCCTGAGATCAGTGGACTCCTTTAAAAAGCAGCTGAAAACGTTCCTGTTCAAGCTGGCTTGTGTATGACCTTCTTCACCACTCTCTCTTTATTCTGCTCTCCCCACCAATTCTACCTTCCTCAGGATCCACTGATTTCCCTCTTTCCTATTCACTCTCTCTCTCTCTCTCTCTTTCTTTACATTTTTAATCACAATTGTCTATTTTTTGCTCATTTTAAATTTATTTTTAACCATTTTCTAAATTCTTTTTATATTTTTACATTTTTTGTTTTTGTGAAGCACCTCGTGATTTTTATCTTGAGAGGCGCTATAGAAATGATATTTTCTTCTTCTTCTGCTGCTGCTGCTTTAGCTAACTGCAGTGAACTTGCATGGCAATTTTCTTCAACGCTTCTGTCGAGATGTTAACTTCCGTGAACGGCCTGGACGTCTCTGTGAGATGGTTGCACTTTGATCTTTCTTAAATTTGTGGATCACTTTTGCTGCAGTATTTGAGTGATCGTCTTGTAGCCCTCCCCTCTTAAGTGAACAATTAGACTCACCTGTGGTTGAATGCCTGTTATTTAGAAATTTGTAGTCATAAGTGTGGCTTTTCTCTTAAGACTATAATTGTTTTTACAACATGGGCTTAAATGGATTTGGTAGCAAAATCTCTTTTTGTGTGCAAAGGAACACATCTTGTTCAATCAATGGCCTACGTTTGTGGGAGTATTTTATAGTATGGTATCTCATAGATAATGCTGAATCTGAAATAAACCTAAAGATTTTCTCTGACAAATGTAGTGAGGTGCACTCATTTGGGCTGAGCAATGTATAAAGATTCGGCCTGATACAGATCTTTTAGAAACCTGTAAAACTGATAGTCTTACAGCATAACGCGTGTTGCTAAGCGTTAGCCAATTGCATTAGAGATCTGCCTACATACAGAAGTCAATCACAGAGCGGACGTGCACGTTTGTGGAAGTACCTAGACTGATGCAAAGTTTCTATAAATATATAAACACAGCATAACGTGAGAATAAAAATTGTAAAACAATGCAATTCTGCTCTGTTGGTCGACTAGTGATGTGCGTTCACAAACGAGTAGCGTCGACTTGAGCTGTAATCATGGAAGTAGAGAGAGGAGCTTAAAGTTGCAGAACATGTTTTCCATCTCTAAATGGTGCCATATGAGAAAATATATTTTCCTACACCAGGAGTAGGCAATCCTGATTCTAGAGTGCCGCTATCCAGCATGTTTTAGTAGTTTTCCTGCTCCAACATACCTGATATTAATCAGTAGATCATTAACAGGCTTCTGTAAAGCACGATGACCTGATAAACAAGTGATTCAACCATAGAGAGTTTAATGTAGAACTCTAGAAGGCGGTAAATTAACACAGGCCATTTACTTATAAGCACTGGTCGTTATCAATCCACTTTTACTTATGGGACCAATACTGATGACTAACACCAGCTGATGTTGAGATTGACGCCGATATGTTGTTCATCCCTAATCTTCATTTCCTACTGAATGAACTCACCTTGCATCATAGTGGGACAGAACCACTGTGATGGTGTATGTCACCACCCTCTTCCTGTTGTAGTGACTGACTCCAGTGAACTTTCCAGGGACACCAAACAGCAGGTCTGAAAAGGGCATTATGGTGAAGTTCAAAACACAACACACAGCATATTAACTTCAACAACAGTAGGACGTTGTAGTTATGTAATTACAGCCTATGTGCCTGACAAATGACTCCAATGTGACCAACGGCCATCTGTCAGGTATTAGAGACACACAAGAGTGTTTGTTATGCATAAGGAGGAAAAAAAACCTCCCTGACCATCATAGCCTGAACAAAACTCTCGAAAACTCACTTTATCTGAAGGAGAAGTCTGGTTCTAGAGGAAGAACGCAACACTCAAGGTGGAGGGTGAGGCAAAAACGCAGAGCTGGCTTTGAGCGGCCAGGGAGAATGGTTCACTGTGTCAGTGGGGAACGTTTTACAAATCAGTAAATGAATGAAAATGCTAGTGATACGTCAGCTCTAGGTTCACTAATACGACTAATCCCTGCTTACTACCTCCATACGGTTATGAATAGTGAATCAGGGTTTTCCCCAGCGCTTTATAAGCCTGGCGGCCCGCCAGGCTTTGCTTGCCCACCCGCCAGGCTAAGCGTCATGCCCCGCCCCCCTCCCCGACCCTAACGTGTCCACTGACACAAACGGCGCAACGAAACTAGAGCCCTCCATCACCTGATACTGGTGAGAAACAGCAGCGGAACGTTTGCAACCCCCCACCCCCACCCTCATGGAGGAGTGCTGCGGGACGGAGCGTGCGATCCCACCCCCCGACGGCTGAAGCCGCCAGGCTTAACTCATTATCTGGGGGAAACCCTGGTGAATTAGGCAAGATTACTTTTAACAAAGAATTTCATTTTCACCTCCACGTTTGGTCTTGTGCTACATTTTGCTGGAACAAATGAAATTTTAAGCTATTGCTTTTAAATTGGTTTCTGTGGTTCTTCAGCCATAAACTTCAGTTATCAGTGCGGATCGTTTTACTTTGTGGCTTATTTGTGCTCAGTGACCTAGTGGTATGAGTGTCCACCCTGAGACGGGGAGATTGTGGGTTTAAATCCACGGTCGGATCATACCAAAGACTTTAAAAATAGGACCCATAGCCTTCCCGCTTGACACTCAGCATTAAGGGGGTGGATTGAGGGGGTTAAACCATCAATAATAACATAATAACAAAACTTTTTTTTCATTGTCCATTATTGCAGCAGAGCTAATTCATGCCAACATTAACAAGTATGTTATGTAAACATTTTTATTCCAACTTAACTTTGAAGGTAATTGGATATTTAGAAATTCATTTATTCAGGCTCAGCGGGCTGATGGGATTCTGTTTTGGCCATACTCTGATCAATTCCTGAGATTCATACTTAACAGTATAAAGTCTTATTTTAAATCAAATGTATTTTTGAACAAATAAAAGGCACATGTTTGTGAGCTACTTTTGTGTAGCGGCAAAAATAATCCGTGCATGGCCTGACTTTGACCTCCCCTAACTCACAAAGAGCCGGGAGTCGTTTCTGCTCTTTACCTCTCAGCGTTGCTGAGGTGTGTAGTCCTTTGGGTTCGTGTTTCTGGATGGTTCTGAGGAGATCAGGGTCTGAGTCGAACAGCTCCCTCTGGTTCTGCCAGTAGTTACCAGGAGAGACGAGCAGACACCCGTGTTCTGGCAGCACCGACTGCATTCGCCGTAACCCTGGAAACAGGCCAGTCACCTGGAGACACAGAGCCTCCAGGCTGCGAATGCCGGAGCTGAAGACAGAAAATGTGCAGATGGTAAATCAGTACTTCAGTTGCGATTTACAGATCAACACTGATGTGTAAACATGACAGGCAAAAAAAAATGTGACCTACAAATCAGGACTCATATCAGTCCTTGTACAGTTCAGCTGACAGACCCTGTCGTTACAAAAGGTCGAGTACTCACACAGAGGTCATGGATGTTTTTTATTTTTCTTAAAAAAGGCACAAATACAGGTTAGAGTTCAAGATTTACTTTTAACGACAACAAGAAGTTGCTACACCTTAAAACCAAACTGTTGCATTCTGCTGTTTCTGGAAACAATGACTCGTACATTTGTGCCTTTTTTAATATATTTTTAGTTTTACTGAACTTCAAACTCCTTCACCTATAATTAGGGTTGTCACGGTGTGAAAATTTAACCTCGCGGTTATTGTGACCAAAATTACCACGGTTTTCGGTATTATCGACGTATTTTTTTTAAACGTGTTACATTTTCAGACAACTGAATAAACCCTGTATATCAGGAAAATATTGTCCTCAGTTTGTGTCTAAATTTTGCCTAAAAATTGTTATTTTGTAATTATGTTGTTTGTTTACATTTTTCCCCTTTAGTCTTTAAAATACCAATATTTGCCCATAACTTCTTGTTTGATGTCATCATTTCAAAAATATTAGATCAGTTGATACTCAGTACTCAAGTAGCCTTCTAATCAGATACTTTTTTACCCTTACTTGAGTAATAAACCCTATATCAGGAAAATATCATCCTCGGTTTGTGTCCTTCCAGTGAGCTTTGCAGATGTGGGAAAATGTCATCAGGCAGTAATCGTTGTTAAATTCATAATTATTCTCGGAGAGAGACCAACTCTCATCTGCCCCTGGGAGCCCCGTAATGCATAGCGTCATTTCAACATGGGGGTGTCCGCGACATGGTTTATATGCAGGTAGCGGCGCTGCGGCTGCTTTATATAGCAACTCGTTGCATTCTCCCTCAACCCAAATCCTAGGATCATGCATTTTAGCTAAAACGTTAACGTTAGCTTGCCTTGCGTTGACTGTAGAGTTGTGGGTGATGGTCACGCAGATGTGTCATGAGATTTGAAGCGTTGCTGCCTTTCACAGACACTTTTTCTGCTCATGCTGCAAACAGGATAGCCGTCTTCTATCAACTGTCCCTCTGCATTCTTCATATATCCAAAAGATGCCCGTACTTCCCACTTTGTCTTCTTTGAGGGATGATAAATGTCCTGAGCGCTGCCGTCTCCTCCTTTGGCCATTATTTCAGCTTTAGCTTCAAGAAAGTTTTGGTTGTAAACAACAAAGTGCGCATGTGCCGCCGGCAACTTCAGCAGATGATACGGTGGCTGGTAAGGGTCACCGCGCCTACACCGCAGCCACGGTAATCCACCGAGATAATATATATATATTTTTTAAACAAGACGGTTATTATTATTGTCAACTTTTTTACCGGGGTTTACCGCAACATCAGTTACCGTGACAACCCTACCTATAATCTATCGGAGGGGCGGCTCACCTGTCAGTGTGGACGTGGTTGCGAATCTCCTCCAGCAAGCTGAAAACTTTCCCCAGAGGTGAGCGAAACACATCCACCGGCACCAGGCTGCTGTCCCATGGAGACACCGCCGCCTTCACCAACACCTGCTGGATGTACGCCACCGGAGGTCCGTGGTACTACAACACACCACACCAACATCCACAGAGGTCATGTGGGTCTGGAGGCACTGAGACAGGACAAAGTCTTTTCTACATCTGACAAGTTAAGAAATCTTCTCCTTTCCCAGCAGAACTCTATTAGAACTAGTCTGAGTTTATTAGTTTAAAGAGGTCAAAACGGTTAACTGTGTGTTTAATGGGCCCTCTCTCCTCCTACCCAGTCAGGCCGTTCTCCTAGGTCTCCCTGAGGCTCATGGAAGGGAACGTTATAGTCTCGCACTCCTGTGGTGAACTCCACAGGACCGGTCCCAGGCAAGGGAAGCCTCAGTAACGGATAGCTGGAAAAGAAACATGGGAAGTGAAAAATATCAGTACTGATAGGGATTTAACAATGTTTCAAACAAACTGCAGCCCTTTGTCCACATAATTAATCAACCAACAAAGCAGTTCACATCACCAACCCCCACATGAATGCATACAAAGAGCGCTAGACAGCGCCAGTAAACTGGGTGTTTCATTTTGTGTTGCAACATTTATGTGAAGATGAAACCAGCAGCTCTGGCTTTTCTTGCTACATCCAGTCAAACGTGCCTCTAGAAAAAAGGACGGCTCCCTCTTTCTCCTAGAAATGGGTTGGTCTGTTTGAACGGGGCAGCAAAGGCAGAATGAGTCACTTGTCTGTGCATGCGTAGGGGGCACAGGTTACTGTGAACGTGGAACATCAGCTGAGCAAAACCGGGAGGGAAGAAGATGAAAATGTAAGGCTGCAGTAGACATGGGTGGGTCGGATACCACTGAGGGGAATGTTTTAAGGCTAAAAGACCCAAAAATGACAAATAAAGGCAATAATCGATGAAAGACAGCTTTCTGTCTCAGATTTTAATTTTACCATGAGATTAATAACTGTAAAATATTGTTTCAGCTCTGTTGGTCAGCTACAGGCACACATTCACGAACAATAAGTGTTAATTAAAACATTCTAAGCAGCTTGTTAAGTGTTTGCTGAACCTTTCATTTATTTATATTAACCTATTTTTAATCAGATGAGTCGATTGAGAACTCATTCTCATTTGCAACAATGACCTGGCCAAGAGGCAGCAGCAACAGACACATAATTAACTTATACTAAAGAAAAACAGATGAGATAAACAATAAAGACAAAGGACTGTTCTCATATTTAATATGTACAAGCAACCAAAACAGACTTAAGTCTAAGTCAGGGCTATTCACTTCCGGGCCTCGAGGGCCGGTATCCAGCACGTTTTGGTTTTAACCCTGCTTCAACTCGTCTAATTTCAATTAGTAGGTGATTATCAAGCTTTTGTAGAGCCTGATGAGCTGCTGCACATGTGATTCAACCACTTAATCTAGTGTGTTGGACAAGAGAAGCCACTCAAATGTGCAGGATACCGCCTCTCAAGGTCCGGAAATGAATAGCCCTAGTCTACGTACTCAGAAGCAGGCACAATGAACAGAAACTAGTGATTGCAATGACTTATTGAAGGTAGATAATGGACTGTAGGTAGTGAGCTTTAGAGATTTTTGCAGCTCATTCTAGTCGTTTGAAGCAGCAAACTGGGATGAGGAGCTGCCAAAGAGCTTCGGAAATAACCATAAAAATTAATTTACTGGAACGTAAATTGCGCAAGTTGTTGGAAGTGATGAGTAATGAGCGAAGATATGACGAGGCTCTACCAACGATTGTTTAGTATATAAATTTATACCAATGGAACATACTGAAGGAATGGAGTGATGGCCAGTTAATGAGTGGGTACAGATTACAACGATGAGTAGTGAAAGGAGCACCAGTGACAAAACAGATTGATGAGTGATAAATGGCATTGAGTTTATGAAGAAGTTTTTTGGAAGCGGTCCTATAAATGATGTCACCATAATCTAAGATGGGAAAGGATGTCATTTTGACCAAGGTTTGCTTTGCAGAACGAGTAAAGGATGACTTGTTCTGGTGTAGAAACCCAATTCTTGATTTGATTTAAGAAAGTAATGAATTAATGTGAATGTCAAATGAAAGTGTGCCGTCAAGCCAGATACCCAAATACTAATAGGGCTGCAACGATCCGTCGACGTTGTCGACAAATATCGACAACAGAAATGGTCAACAATGAATTTCATTGCCGACGTTGTCGCCAGACGTGTTTTTTCCGACCGAGTGAGGCATCTCAATTCATTACAATCTCTGCTGAGAGTCGCACACACTCAATAGCTTCTCTGCTGAGCGCCAACTACAGAAATGGCGGCGTCCGACACAGCAGCTACGCGTACCAAAACATCTCAAATTTGGGAGCATTCTAGCCTGGATTCGGCGAATAAAACGATGACCTGCATTATTTGCAAAGCAGTCGTTGCGTATCACAGCAGCACCTCGGTGATGCATGAACACTTAACGAGAAAGCACGCCGGACAGTTGAATGAAACAGAGTCTGACTCACCTCGGTAAGATTTAAATAACACGAAAGCCAACACGTTTTGTTTTGGATGTACATTGTACCACATCTCACCTATTCTTAAAACTCTTCACTGGTTGCCCGTTAAATTCAGGATCAATTATAAAATTTTACTTTTCACGTTCAAATCCTTGAACGGTCAAGCGCCTCCCTATCTGTGTCATCTCCTTCATTACTACCACCCTCCTCGAGCTCTTAGGTCTGAAGATCAACTCCTCTTAACTGTCCCTAAGGCACATTTGAAGACTCGTGGGGAAAGGGCTTTTTCAGTCTGTGCCCCAAAGTTATGGAACTCATTACCACTGCAGGTTAGGCAAGCTTCCTCTATCGCCGTCTTTAAATCTCGTCTGAAGACCCTCTACTTCACTTACGCATTCGATCCCTAATTCCATAACTCCTTAGCTCATCCATTGTCCCTCCTAGTCAATTCAATTTTAATTCTGTGTTTTTATATTCTGGTTTTATTTACTTTTACTGTTAATAGTCTGTTGTTTTTATTTCTTTTGCTCCTTCTTACATTTTCCATCTACCTGACTATTTTAACTTGTGTTTTCTTGCTTGTTTTTTGTGCAGCGCTTTGTATGGTTGTAATGCCGTGTTGAAAGCGCTATATAAATAAAGTGGTATGGTATGGAACATTTTTTAAACGTATTTTCGCTTTTTTTTTAAAAAAGAGAGATTTAATGTTATGCCCGACTGTGCCTGACAAAAGTATTTTAATTTAATTTATGCATTTATGTCTATACTTACTGAGCACTGTGCCTAATTGGTGTTAGACAGGGCATTTTTATTTATTTTAAGTACAAACTGGCCTATCAGCAGCAAAGTTCAATAAAATAAGCATTTTCCATTGAAGTACCCATCTTTCTTGCGTTTATTATCATTTTTCACATAATTAAAGCAATCTCATGCTAAATTTAAGAAAAATTTAATAATTATCCGATTAGTCGACTAATCGTTTCAATAGTCGGTGACTAATCGACTATTAAAATAGTCGTTAGTTGCAGCCCTAAATACTAATAGGAACTGACAAGCTGTAGGTCTGTACCATCCAGGGAAACAATACTAGGGTGGGCTGTTGATTGCGGTAAGCTACGATTCAAGATCACGAACTTTGTTTTACTTGTATTTAAATGAAGATGAATGTTGGAGAAAGAATGTTGAAGACAGTTAAAAGTTGTGCTGCAAGGAGGACAAAGCTGTGTTCAAGGAAGGACTGCATAAATATAAAATAGTGTCGTCCGCATATAAATGTATGAGAACTGTCAATAGTTATCAATATAGATTTTGAATAAGGTAGGGCCCAGTATCGACCCTTGAAGAACGCCCATAGATGGAGGTAGAGGAGCAGATTGGTAACCCTCAGTTCTCACTGCGTACGGCTTAAGATAACTTCTAAACCATGCCATGGAGGCCTGAGACAGTCCTTTATGTTTGAGCCTGCTAAGGTGTTATGGTCCACAGAGTCAAAGGCTTTAGCCAAGTCAACAAATACAGCCACACAATATTCCTTATTGTGAATGGCCCATACGATGAATCAGTGTTGTTAATTATCGGCTAAATATTCATTTGTACTCATGTACAAATATTTCTCCCCCGTTTAACGTGTGCTTGTCTATTGAATAGAAACCTCTACCCCCTTCCTCCCTCTCTCTCTCTCTCTCTCTCTCTCTCTCTCCATGCTTTCCCCAGCCTCCTCCGCTCTCCTAGGTCACTGTACCTCCACAAAAGCTTCTTTTGTTTTCACCAGCCCCCCTCCTGACAAGCAGATGAAGAGACAGGCATCCCATTCTCACAGGGCCACTTTCTCACAGCCCTGTGCCCCGGTCCTGCCTTTAACCAACCCGCAGACAGTCCCCCACGGGTGGTCAGTCGTCCATTCGGCCATCACCCCAGCTGTAATGAGCTTACAGGACAGCACACAGCAGGTGTACATGTGTGTTTCAGATCTGAGATTGTTGCTGATTGTTGCCCAGCCAAGTCTCTGACCTATGCCCCCCTCTGTAGACTAGTGACTTAGCAAATTCAACAAGAGCAGAGACTGTGTGTGCACATGTTAAGTGAGCGTTTGTGTGGCGGTGTCAGCAGGGAACTGTTTTGTGAGTGTGTGTGTGTGTGTTTGCGTGCAGATGGCCTTGAACTGAGCCCGTTTTTTCATCAATTCTGTGAAGCTCAGTGTGCCTGAACTGGATGACCTGAGTCGACTTGATTTTACAGTTTATTTAGTAAGATGGAACAAATGAGGGTATGCTTTTGTTGGAACAGAACTAATTTGACCAGAATGACAAAATCCTACTGCAGGGAATGAAACATTATTTGACTCCTTAAAAATCCAACGTGGATGGAAGAAACAAATCCACCAGTAGAGACTAACCAGCAGGTGAGGATGCTGGCGGAGGTGAAGAGGATGATGGGTACTGGGTAGGAGGCACACAGCAGCCCGTGGCGGTAGAAGGCCGCCGAGATCTTCTTTCTCAGCTGCTCGCGCAGCGTCATCCTTGTGGGCGTGGTCAACTCCCGGCCATTGGGAAGAACTGGGCGGCCGAGGACGGAGCGCCGCGGAGCATCCAGGGACCTTGAGACAAAAATTATGGAAATCATTTTAATGACCTCACAGAATTATAGCCATAAACAAAAGCAGATGTTTTAACCCTTTAAGTGCTCGATCAACCGTCTGGTCAATAATGTTTGTGTCTCTGATTCTCTGTTGTTTTGTAGGAAACTAGGGGAAAAAATCTAAAAATATGAAGATATTCTATGAAAAACAATGATAATTCTGTGCCGTTATTTTATGTTAGTATTAACACTTTATTTTTATATTATTTATGCATTATTATTCTTAACATGTTAGATCCTTTGCACAAAACCCTAGACTTGGGACAGCATTTCAACACCAGTCTGTCATGTACCTTCAGTGCAACTTACCATGACTGTGCTGGCTACAAAATGCCTTTCCCACTCATCTAACCCCTATTTCACACGGGAAGCATCAGCGGCCCATAACGGCTTACTCGCGAGTTTTAATGCGGTCCAGTACACACCGAGAGTCTTGGCTACAGAACAGCTTCCTCGCTGGACTTGTGAGATCCCAAAATCCCTCTAGACTTCAAAGGTCAATGGTTTGTTTGTTATCCGCTCTTAAACCAAAAAATAAAAAAAGAAATCACATTTGATATCGCTGTTTGATATATTATGTTCCTCTCCACTGCCACGATTAATGCCATGAAAGACACACTGCTGCATTTCTCGAACGATGCAGGGAGTTAATAAGTTGTTGGGTCACATGGAAGCTATATATATATATATATATATATATATATATATATATATAATTGCATCGCTGCAGTACATTTATTTTGAAAATTAGCAGGGATTTTACACCAAAACTGTGTGATTTCCTATCTACCTATGTTAACTGCAGAATTTGAAGGTGTCCCAGAAGCGGCTCGTGGCAAAAATTGAACCCAATCCTATCTTTAGCAATGCGTGGGGCTTCTGGACGCGCCTGAAAGTTGCCGGTTTGAATCACCCCATAAACTAAAATGGACTCAATTTGAAGCAGCGAAGTTCCGTCGCCATTCATACTTCTGATGGTTCCAGCGTGAAATAGAGGGGTAACTCTGAGCAATGTGGCCACAAACTAAATTTCACTCAGGAGAGGAATATCCCTTCAAAAACTATCAAGACTGCGTATTGAACCCAGAAAGTTTTGAAAGATTTAATCTAAAAGCTCCACAGCTTTTAAATAAAATAAAACAATACATTTGAGTTGTGGACATCCTGTCAAATTATAAAGTTTTTTATGCGACACGAATCAGAGATAAGCTTCATGGAGCCTCTTGTCAAAGTAAATATAGTACTAAATCTCTAAAGCTAAGACTTATCTTTATTTACTAAAATGCAGCAGCACGCCTATTGACGGGTTCGAGAAAGAGGGAGCACATCACCCCAATTTTAGCTTCGCTGCACTGGCTGCCTGTGGTTTATAGGGTCCAGTACAAGGTTCTTTTATTGGCTTTTAGAGCTGTACATGGCCTTGCTCCGCAGTATCTGTGTGAGCTTTTAGTAACTTTCTCCCCGTCTCGGTCACTGAGGTCAGCCGACCAGTTTCTCCTGGAGGTGCCGAGAACAAAGAGAAAGCTCAGGGGTGATAGAGCTTTCTCAGTAGCAGCTCCAAGGTTGTGGAATGCACTCCCGATTCAGATTAGGATGGTTTCATCACTGTTGGGTTTTAAATCCCTCTTAAAGACTCATCTGTTCTCAGTTGCTTTTAATTCAGTTTGAGAATGCATCTGTTTTTAGTAGCTTTTATGTCAGTTTGATATGTTTGTTTTATCATGATTTTACCTTGTGATTAACTTTTTATCTTGTTTTTAGAATTTTTGAGGAAATTCTGTTCATTTTGTCTTGTTAAGCACTTTGGTCAGCTTTTATGCTGTTATAAAGTGCTATATAAATAAAGTTGACTTGACTTACTCCATCCACCACACACACCATGAATAAAGACATGCTGCATTTTTCCTCCAGAGTGGTTTCTACTGCCATTGCATGCTACACACCACTTAAGACACACAGCTCTTTCAGAGATCCAAAAGGTGTGGGCACATTCCCGCTAAAGGAAATATCCAAATTTAACTGATCACGCCTGGGGGGAAAAAACCAGCTTTCATGCTGCTTCCTTTCAAAGAAGACAGGGGTTATTTACATGAAGGTGAAAAAGCACGGAGGCAGAAGTTTTGCATACATGCCGACTCGGGCATTTGATCACTCAGTAATTTCTGTTTCTCACAGAGAAACAATTTTAATACAATTCACAAACAAAAAAAAAAAAGATTTTTAAGGTCTGCTTCCCCAAGAAACTGTTTAAAATTGTTCTTTCAGAAAGGCGATTGGTCATTCATGCATGCTGAATGTGAAAATGTTCTCCAATCCCCATCATCTGCATTTGTCACAGAAAAGAAAGAGACATGAAATGATCTGATAGGAAAAGGCAGATCGCTTCTATGTCACGGAGAAAATTAGTGTTTGTGACCCGGCCCACATTGGCTTACACAAGAAGGAAACAGCGGACAGCATCTCGCCTAATAGAAGCTAACCACTAGCAACTCAACATGGGAGAACACAATCAGGTGTGTGTTATTTGTGGAGATAAAACACCAATGTTGCTTTTTTTTTACCCAAGAAAGAAAAAGCGAACAAAGGCAGAAGAAAAGCTGTGGTGCCGTTAGCCAATCAGAGGCGAGATGTTCGCATATCATGAATAATAATGAACAAGACCCTCGTCCCACTCTTCTGCCAAACTTCCAACCCCAAAACAGGAACACCAAAACCTCTCTCCACAGAAAACGACTTGCAAGGCATGTTGGAAAATCACTCCTCCGACAAACTTCTACTTCCTGTAACAGGAGCGTCAGATCATTTCCATAGAAAACGACTCACTAAGATTCATTAATAGAAACCACGGCAGATTAATAGGAAAAAAAATGAATGGATGAGACCTTTAAAGGAATATTTTTGCGCAAAAGCTTTGAATCAAGCATCAATCTGTCGGTCTCTGTTGTTTCTCCATTAGCTATGCTAATGGGCAGATTTGATCAACCCTGATTGAAGAGCTCCGTCTGGAGCTACGGCAGGCCTGCACTTTTTCAACTGTTGCCACGTTTTCAGCATTTCTGATCTTTGAGATTCTCTAAATCAACTACTCATAAATGATGCTTGTTTGGAAAGAGCATCATACCGCCTAAAAACATGTGACAACTGATAACTCAATGTCACTTGTGGAAATCACCCTTTCCACAAATATCCCTCCCTGCTTGAGAACAAACTGAACACTGATATCTATACATGAGCTCCGACGTTGTTTGAAATCTGTGCCTTGAGGGCAGTTCGCCTCACATCAAACACAAATGTCCGTTCCGCTTCCCCACGCCAACTCAATCTCAGCTCGTCTCACGTCCGCTGAGCTAACAGACGGAGTTGCTGCTGCAGCGTTTGCTGCTGTTGCATGGCATTAGTAGTGTTTTATTCATGATCCTACTTAATCATTTTCCTGTCTGTGATGTCACTAAGCTGTACAAGCCAACATGTCAAGCATGCCCCAACACAGCAGCCCCCGTGTCAGTCACAACACCACTGTACCTGCTGATGGGAGACCAGGTTGTCTCTCGGGATCCCACCTGTTTACGTCCTCTGAAGGCAGCAGTGCAGGGGTTTTTTAGCCTAACTTGTGCATTACAGTTGACATAGTGTTCCCTTCTTGGCTCAGGCAGAGTGCACGACTGCTTGGCTTGTCCTCCCGGGAGCGACGGAAACATTCCCTGGGAGGAACTCTCCTCAGGAGTCTCTTGATCTGCTGTTATAAATATGCTTTACAGTAAACAAAGCTACAACAAGCGTCCACAAAGACTTCACAAAGGTTGTTTGAAGTCAAGCCTTTTCAGTGCCGGCGCCTCTGACCCGGGTTCTTGCCTCGCTCACGGTTTAGCCGAGCATTCGTTTAAAAAACTCTGGATGAAAGTCTCCATCTCTGGTCTGTTTGTCCAGTTTGCTGTACTCTCCAGGGTTATGTGGGTGCAGCTGGAAGGCCTGATTTGGCAAAGGATCAGCAGCATCTCCGTCAGTAAACTAATCTGGGATTGAACTGATCGGAAACTCAACGAACAGGATAGAGGTCTTGAGGCCACCTCCCATTGATTCCCTCCTCCTCCCGTGGTCACACACTTCAGTCTTTCATGCATTAAAAGCATAGCAAGGTTGGAGGAGTCTTACAGCACTTCTCAATCGGAGCGGAAAATGAACAGCAGCCAAGAATTTAGTGTTTGTACGCAGCAGCCACAGTGCAGTGAATCTGAGCTCCTTTCAGCCATTCTGGCAGGTGATCAGTGACCATTCGGGAAAATCTATTCTTGTGGGATTTGTTGGCCCACTGTGGATGAGGGCGAAAAAAAGAGCAGTCCCATAGAAACCTAGCTTACTTAAAAATACATTTTCAAGATAGCAAGAATGATATAAGATAAATAAGAAAGCAAGAATGAGAAATTTGGAGCAAAAAAGAAATACAACCCCAAAAGCAAAAGGCTTACCTCTTTTCAGTTTTTGCTAAAATACCAAACTTGAAAGCCTCTCCAGGCTTCACAGATCCCAGAGACATTATCAGCGGAGCGGAGCCAAAAACCACTATCTCAAAACATTCCACAGATCTTTAGACTGCATCCATTCTTCTTAGTGTAACTGCTTCAAAACCCAGCGACACAGTTACATAACGATGAAGCACGTGCTGCTAATCTGTAGATATTAGTACAGTTGTAAAAGCAGCACCAACCTCACTTTGAATGAACTTGTAACTGTCATTTACAACCAGAGCCGATGACAGAACAGAGAAAACTTCTGTTAATCAGTAACCGTGTTGTAATAACTAAAGATGGCTGGCTCTTTCCACAAGACTTCCTCCTTTCTGACCAAATATTTCAATGAGACAGAAAAAGCCACAGTTTATGCCTATCACAGTGAGTGTGCAGATGCAAGGAAGTGCATAGTCTTTTGCTATTCATAAATGTCACCCCCCTGTGCATTTACGATCTAAACCATAAAATAGATTTTCCCAAGATGCAAAGCACAAATAGGGATGGTGGGGCTGATGCAACCATGTTGCAACATCACCTCTCAAGTAACAAACAACGGTAAGCATGACAGACATGCCCAGATCAAAACCATCAAGAGCCACTTTTATTCACACATGCGAAATCGATCATAACAGAGCATCCCAACGGTTTCTACATTTTTCCTCTATTTTGTGGTAAAAATCCAACAGTTAAACTTTTAAAATGAGGGAAACGATCTATCTAGAGAATATAAATCAATTAAATGTTTAATTTATAGCACTTAGTTTCTGCAGTTTAGCAAATAGTTAGCAACAAAAGAGAATGTTATACAACACAGGTTTTTTTGACTCGAGCACATAAATGGGAGAAAATTCGTTGTCTGTATGGCAACACGAACAATGTACGTCATATATTATTCATGTCACTACTAATACGACAAAAAATAAAGTTTTTATCCCGTGTTTTACCTTCTTAGAAGTACAATTTAGCCTTTTAGTACGCCTAGCTAAAAGCTAACACTAAAAGCAAACAAGGCTAGCTTTGTTAGCTTCTTGGCGAACATGTGATCCATTTAATAGGCATTTAACTTAAATATATGTTAGTGAAATGGAAAGTAATAACATAGAAGAGCCTAGCTGCCAAAGCTGCAATAGAAAATATTTTTAAAAGACTTCTGACAATAGATGAAAATTTAAAAAAATAACAATTGCGCCTTCGTTAGCCAAGTAAGAGTTAATGTGACAAAGTTAAAAATATCAGGGAAGTTTGGAATTTGTGTGAACCGTAACTAAAAAAGAACAGGAACCTAATAAAAGCAACGAAAATCAGAAGCTGTAGTTTAAAAATGGATTAATACATCACCAACCATCATGCTTCCCACTACGCTAAAGCAGCTAATGCTAGCAGGAGAATAGCCTTTCTGTAGACACTTACCAGGACGAACTTCAGGATTCCTCAAAATTTTAAAATCACTGTGATCTTCTCGGGTGAACTGATGGTCACCAGCTTTATTTGTGCTTATTAAATAAAAACTGTGCAGGTGAAATCCTCAGGTCAGACGGTGACAGGCAGAAACAAAACTACTACAGCTTGAGGTTGTCAAATCAGACTTCTTCGCTTCGACCTCTCACACCTCCAACGTAGAGAAGAGAGACAAAGTGACCCCTGCTGGACGCAAACTGTTACAACATGTTTAGTTTTCCATTATGCCTCCATTCTATTCATCTCTCCCAAAGATAATTTGAAGTGAGTTATTAAATCTTCTCAACCTTTAAAACAGATTTATATTTTTATTCTATAACAAACAAACTCACTCCAGTGTTTGGCAAAAACGAAATGCCTAAATTGTTTTATTCAAGGTATTCTTTAGGACTTTGTAGAGCTGTTTTAAATTCAAACTATGTTACTGGTACTAAAATTACAGTATTTATTATTTAGTAGAAAAAAAACAGAGCCCAACAGGCAACAGTCAGATGCATGAATTCCATGCATGCATTGCAAACAAGTGTATTGAAGAACTGCTAAAGCTAACCTGTCCCAGCAAACCTAAATATAATTGTACCAGTTAATGTCATCCTTGGTCAACGTTGCAAAAAGCCACTATGGAGCAGCTATAGGCCCTCACTGGGTTCCAGACCTGCAGCTACAGACTTTTAGTAAAATAAAGTTGCACTTCACAGATTGAGCCTAAAATTTGCCTCAGAAATCTTTATTTTCTTACTTTTTTACAACACCGTCCAAGTCTCAAACCACCTCTCAGTTTGTTATTTTTTGCTTTTAAAAAAACCAGCTGTGTAATTAAAGCACTTTATTTATCAGCTTGCTGCAAAGACAATTATGTTGCATCTAGAAAAAAATGCATCCTCTGTCAAAACAAGCAAAAAGCAGAAATCAACACCAGAGTAAGTAAAAAGTCCTTTTTAATTATAAGGAATGGAGTGATTCAGTCGTCTGGATGCTAACAGTTTCACTGAGTGAACAGGGAACATGGGTTTGCTGAATGGTCTCCATCGGGACATCAAACCAACCACCATCACACTAAAACAGCTGCTACCATGTATGTGTACACATGAAGATGTTAAACATGAAACTAGAGAACAGCACTGGATGTCCCACGAGCAAAGAAAGAGGCCCCTTTATCGTGGACTTTGTACTGAAATAGCTTGTTCTGATTGTGCTGCAAATCCCCTCTTCTCCTCCTCCTACAGACTTCCACCTGGAAAACAAATATTGCCATTTTTCTGATTCATTTGTTATGAATATGAACAGATTCGTTCACAGCTAAATCTACTAATTTTCTTTAATCATAGCATATATTATTATTGTTGCCATAAAATCAATGCTAGGGAAAAGATTTGTCTCTTACCTGTCCATGTATGTCTTTGCAAAAACCAGTGGGGAGACCCTGTACATGAAGAGTGAGGGTACACTGGTGGGTCAGGCCTTTTAGAAGCCTCTCTGAGCCTTCGTCTCCATCTTCCTCCTCTTCTTCTCCACTGCAGCGCACCAGCATCACCATATTCCCCTACAGTCAGTCAGAGTCATAATGACGGAAACAACTAGGGTGGTTTTAATCAGAAATGGTCTAACCTGTAGCTGAGAACAGATCGTTGCTCTGCAGTAGTGGCTGAAGTCCAATACAGCCCCAGCGCTGACCCCCAGACTCAGCAGCACACTGAGGTCATCCACCAGCAACACAGGCGGCCCCCAGTCCTCGCTGCTGCCTGATCCGGTCACGCTGGACTGAACAAACTCGTACAGGCTCCGCAATCCGGCAGCAGGATCCCTTAGGGTCAAAGGAGATCAAAACAACGTTTTAAAAAAATCTAAATGTACACTGATCTGGACGCATTATCTGGACGCACTGGAGGAAGTCCATAGCTTGACTTTCTGCGTTGCGTTCTTGGGGAATCAGAATGGAGAGAGAGTCCTTCAGTCCCTCCAGAAAAACCAGCTGACCTCTCTCCTTTGCTTGTGTTAAACTGAGTCCCTGAAACCAGAGAAATGATGGAAAACACCAGTTTCTGCCAGATTAAAGTTCAAGCCTGCCGATGCCAAATACTCACCAGTCTTTGGCTGACTGCACTGTAGTGGCAAAAGGACTGCACCAGACCCAGAAAACACACTTTGCATCGGGCTACAACAGGAAACAGACGCACTGGCTGCTTAACAGAACAAATAAATACCATTTCTTCTGACTCTTGACCGATATTACTACTCACCTCGTAGGTAGAATGAGAGAAAGTGGTGTACGAGGAAAGATGCATCACTCTGCCTGTCCGAAACCACGATCAGCTCTCCCTGTAATTAACAACTGATGTCTAAAGGCTAAAGATGCACGAACCCATAGCTGTAGCTAAATGTCAACTGCTAGGATGTAAGACACAATCTAGTTAATTGTAATTAAGCAGACACGATGCTTTAGGTCAAATCTGAGTAACAAATGATGGAATCTCACCGGTGTTATGCTGTCAGGAGAGGCGTTCAGGATGCTGTTCAGCTCTGTAAACATTATTAAACTCCTACAGCAAACTACTTTTACATCACTAACACATTTACTGAATTAAATTACAGATGAAATTGCATTTGCAGAGGCAAAAAGAAACAACTGTTTGGTACGCGCATTCGTTTAAACGCTCGAATACTAGCATTTATGTGAAACTACAAAATATATCGTTGCTAATCGCTAACACACAAGCTAAGGCTAACGAATAAAGATGAGTTTAAACTCGACAGGAGGTCGCACTTCAAATAATTTTCTTTCTGTCTAGAAACATGAGTTAAAGTGTGTTTTGAATTATAACCTTACATTCTGATATTTAACACTTTAAGCACGTGGTCACAGACTTGGAGAAGTTTGAATTCACATATTCAGCACATTACTTGAAAATAAATACGCGTTTTAAAAGATTTCAACACGTCCCCTCAACTTAGCACATGTAATTTTGAATGAATGTGAACTTTTTTTGTTACATATTGTAAGGTAATGTTGCACTTGGTTGCGGAATACTTTTTTCAAATTTAAATTTTGTTTTATTTGTGGAAATGTTCACGTATCTCCAAACATCAACAGAGTGCTTGCATCAAACGAAAAAGTGTAATAGACGATCTCTGCCAGCACATGGCAGCTTTTTCGTTTCCTCCCTGTTGTTTCGCTTGCATGCACTGCCCCCTGCTGGCCTTAACGAAGCAATACTTTCCAGCCAGCAGATAGCGGTGTTTAGCTATCAATCAGGTCAAAGAGCAGTCGTAAACGTTTGTTTCTCTGACGTCACAGAAAAAATTAAGATTATAGTTAAAAAAGAAAAAACTGAGAAAAAGTAAAGTGTAAATAACGTGTTGTTTTATTGCTGAAGCAAAAATATATTGAATAGTCCATTGTTTAAAAATCACAGTTTAGAAGCACCACCCAGACTCACACACACACACACACACACACACACACACACACACACACACACACACACACACAAAGCGCCGTTTGCTGCCTGTAGCTGAAGCTCTTAACAAGATGCCTGCTTTTGTATGAATGCATGAATTCTGAGATTCATTAGGGAGAGAAAAACCAACCACTCTCACCCTTTATTACATATTTACGTGTTCACCATGGCAGTGTTGACCTTCCTTCTCATAAACTCCAACAGAATAAAACAAACACAATCAGAGAACCAGGAACGAGGACATGTCCATATGTCAGAGGTCGTAGGGCTGTATTGTCCAGGATTTAGGCTGCTGAAACTCACTGATCACAGAGACAGGCAACGAGCGACAACTTACTGGGCTGCAGATGGAACAAGGTGGAGAAGGAAGGTACGAGTCATCTTGCCACCTTAAAACCCGGCCCTTGCTTCTGCTTGGCCCATTCCGAGTTCTGGCACTTGGCCCGTTTGGGGCTCGGCTTTTGATTTGGGGCGTCCCGTAGAGGTAGATGTCATATTTTGCAACATGTCTTTTGGAAGATTTCAATTGTGACTTCTTGTTGAGGTGGAACTCCAAGTCAATGGTCACCTTGCAGCACAGAAATAAAATGATCATTAATGCAATTGTGAACGGACAAAAGTATCTGAACATACATGACTGGAGGATCCATGATGTAAGATAATAATATCTGACAACAATCAGCCCCTCCTTGTTCTTTGTGTCTGTGACGCTAAAGGCTTACTAACCATTCTGACCTTTAGAGGCAGGTGATCATGACAACATGCCTTCTTCTTGCCTGAGCAAAAACACCCGTAGAAAATATTAACTACATATTCAATCAGCCACTGCTGACAGCTTCGGCCTAACAGGTGTTTATTTCTGGACGGGACATATAGAGAATAATGGCTGCCAGTAACAGAACCCAAAGTTATTCTACAAGACGCTCTGAATGAGGCAGAGGTGGTGGTGGGTGGTGCACGGGTGGTGTTTCACCAGATCTGCATCAGAAAAGATGCCAGTGGGTTCTGTTCTGATCACGAGCATTCCTCAGAGCCTCATTAGTAAACCAGACGGTGCCAAACCAGTTCATTAGAAATATGCGGCAGTGTGTGTGTCTGTATGTGAGTGTGTGTGTGTGTGGGGTCGGGTGGGGGTGGGGGGGGTGGGGGGGTTGGGGGGGGGGGTTGGAGAATAAAATAAAACCTCCCCATCCCCCTTCCCCACTCAGATGTCCCAATTTTCCTATTTAATTTTTTATCTTTGCTTTTAAAGACGGTTGTCAAAATGTGTGTGTTTCTGCTCATGTGTGTGTGTGTGTGTGTGTGTGTGTGTGTGTGTGTGTGTGTGTGTGTGTGTGTGTGTGTGTGTGTGTGTGTGTGTGTGTGTGTGTGTGTGTCTGTGTGTGTGTGTGTGTGTGTGTGTGCCTACTGCATGGACTTGTCCATCAGCCAATCACAACGGCTACTTCAGGCTCCCAGCACCATCATTCCACCAGGCCATCAGCCAATCGCTGGCTGCTGATGATTCTCAGGTCCCAACTGACTCGACTCAGAGACTCACAGAAATAATCTGATCTACATCGCTTGAACATTTTTTAAAAATTCCTACTCATCTTCATCCTCAGTTAACCATCAGTACATTATAACTTGTAAAAACTGGTTGTTTTCAGGATTGTAATCATGTAAAGACCAACTATATTTAATTTGGATGAAAATTAGTCACTGAGATTTGAAATAAAATATGACTAGAGGCATGATGAGGGCAGCTCCGATTGATAAGCCAGATTATGATCTACAAAGTGCACACGGGGCACCTCTGAACCTAAAGTGATGTCAAGACTAGTTTTTAGTTCCCTGATAGTTTGCAGTAAATCGCTTGACAATAGTAAAGCTGCAGCAGTGTTTTAATCTGGTGTGTGTGCATGTGTGTTTGCATGTGTGTAGGAGTCTGAATGCGACAGAAGCTGAAAAAGGGTCACAGAGTTAGGAATTAAAACTGAAGCATCGGACTGGGTCTCCATGGTAACGATGCCCTCTGTCTGAGGATGCATAAAATCGCTGCCAGCAGCAGATAAGTGAAAGTGAAAACAAGGGATGAGATGAAGAGGGAGAGGCACAGCTAAAAACAAACTACCGGTATGTGTTCTTATTTTTGTTTGTTTGTTTTGAGTTTGGATCGATGCTTTTCCACCATCAGTCAGAGGGCGGGTGTTAGCATGTTGGTTTTAGCTAATGATTTATGCAGACCCTCATAAATATCTACGAAACAATAAATATAAAAATGATTCCTCTAAAACAACACGGCAGCATCCTTTCCATTTGTACCAGCAGATGCAGAACCACAGCACAAAGCACAACTGGGCAGCAGTAGCTCAACAGGTTGAGCGGGTTGTCTAGTAATCGGAAGGTTGCAGGTTCGATCCTGGCTGAGGACAGAGAATTCTGCTGTTGTGTCCTTGGGCAAGACACTTAACCCACCTTGCCTACCGGTGGTGGTCGGAGGGACCGGTGGCGCCTGTGCTCGGCAGCCTCGCCTCTGTCAGTGCACCCCAAGGCAGCTGTGGCTATATCGTAGCTCATCCCCACCAGTGTATGAATGTGTGTGTGAATGGATGAATAATACACTGTAGTGTAAAGCGCTTTGGAGTCCTTACTCTGAGAGGCGCTATACAAGTGCAGATCATTTATCATTTAACTGTTCACCCTCTTTCCTTCAGGCAGAAGGATGAGCAGCCTCAGCATCTTCTTCCCATGAGGCTTACCACTGTCTGCGCTTTATTTTAAGATTCTAAATGTCTTGACTGTCTTTAAAGGTGTTGGAAACTTGTTTAATAAATACATTTGCAGTAGTCTCTGGTAGGAAGGAATGCCTTGCAAGTCATATTCGGGGCAAAAAAAGCCCATAGGTGCCTGTATCAGCAGGGACTAGCTTGCCACATAGAGGAGAGCTTTAGCCTAGTGAACTAGACCAAATTCTTGCTTTGCAAAGAAGATAAATAAGTTAAATAATACATTTATTTAGTCTGGCTTGCCAGGCTAGGAGAGCTTAACATTTTGGGGTGTTTCTCAATGTCAAGGATCCTTGCCTTGATGTCTTGGTCCTGCCCCAGTTGCCTAGGAGATACGTTATTTGGAAAGGCCGAGGCGTGTTCCAATGTTCATGTTCTACCGAGGCCTCTGTTCTTCGTTTGTTAGCCGTTTAGCTAGCTGAGCAAGGATACATGGGAGGTGTCTTGCAGCCTAGCCTTGGTCAAAAATTTCCCAGAATACAGCGCAGGATTTTCAAAAGGATGGTGGATCAGGAACCGGCAGCTACTTCAGGGGCAAATATCCAGTTTAAATATCAGTCAACTAATTGTAACTATCAGGCTGATATCGAAAATGTTTTCTTTTAATATCCAAAGAAGTTATCTATAGTTGGTTAGTTGTTTAGTAGTTGCAGCTTCGGTGGCTAGCAGGTAGCAACTTGCTTATTTAATTTAACCAATTTATACACAATAAAAAAGTAAAAAGCTTGTTACACATTTATATAGATACTTATACTTATAAAATATAACGTTACCTCACGTGTCACATGACATGACTGCTGCAAAAGCCACCTTGACATTGAGAAACTCCCTTGGAGTCTTACGCCCCGATATTTTGGACATCTTGCCTCGGACTGGATGACAGCAGCACAACTCTACCATTGACTCTATTTGCTCTGTAGCACTGATGTTTTATCTCCACAAGCAACACAAGTCTGAAGGAGCTTCTGCCATGTGGCTGGGCTGCTAATGCTAACGGTTAGCTTCTGCTAGCCGACTCGTCTGCTGGTGATTCTGGACACTAAAACAACAACAGCCTTCTCGTCGCGAGCCAGTATGGGTGAGTCCGAGTGACCGCTTGACGTAGGTCCGTCAGGCTTTTCAAATCTTCACTTTCTATCAGAAGCTAATACAGGGGATTGGTATGGGAAATTATTTTCATGTTTAGCCTGTAAGAAAAACTCGAGGGACTGATTATAATCAGAAATAGTCATTAAAAATGTTTTTCACTAAATCACACCTTTAAGCTTTTCTCTATCTTAACCCTTGTAAGAAAGAAGTAAAAGTAGAAAATAATGAAGTATTAATAAAATAACCCATCATAAATAGAATTGTAACCGTTTTTGTTGCCTTTATGTGTTAAATTTTGATTTCCTCCCATAAAAAAACTTGTTTCAGTGTCACGTTTGCCTTCCTCGTTTTATTATACTTCTCTGATCAGATATGTAATGCCCACTTGTTGCCATGGTATCCTCTGGTAGTTTTAGATTCACTTGTTTTAAC